GCCTTGCGGGGTACACATCAACTCCCGAACTTTCCGCTCCGTCCCTTACCTCACGGTCTACCAACATAGGCATCGGTTGCTCAGAGTACTTAACCACGAATGCTCGACGCCATCGTGCTCAGACACGACTGCTTCAGCAGCAGCCATTGTGCATCATGCTGACCCTCATCGTCCTCGTCTCCGTCGCCCTCTACCTCTTGTACCAAGCGGTTCTCCATCCGCTGGCGAAGTATCCCGGCCCACGTCTTGCGGCCGTGACCAACTTTTGGAAGGCGTATCACGTTGCAGTGGGCGACTACGAGCATGCCATTCTTGCATTGCACCAAAAATACGGGAGCTTCGTGCGCATTGGACCCAACCACGTTGATATCAGCTCTGCCGACGCGGTTAAGGATGTGTTTTTGACGGGAGGCAAGTCGTGGGTTAAGAGGTAAGTACTCATGACGTTCGGCCAAGAAGTTCTTCTTTAAGACGCAGAGTACAAGACTTGCAATTGCTCACATGGTCTTCAGCCCCTTCTACAACTGCTTCACAGCCATCCGTCCCAACATCTTCGGCACGACGGACGAAGTGATCCACTCGGCGCGCAAGCGCGCCCTGACGCCAGGCTTCTCGATGCAATCGGTGGCGCAGATGCAACCGCACATCGACGCGTGCCTGACCAAGCTGATAGCGCGGCTGGACCGCGCGGCAGACGCGCGCGAGACGGTCAATCTGAAAGACTGGGTTGCGTTCTTTGTCATTGATGTCCTGGGTGAGCTGGCGTTTGCGCGGTCTTTTCGCATGCTGGAGCAGGGCGATGCTGGTGCGCTGCCGCCGCTGAAAGAGCACCTCATGCTTGCGATGCTGAGCGGCCAATTGCCTTGGCTGGTTCCCTATGTCAATAAGTATTTAGGGTACCTCCCGATTCCGTACTTGCAGCATGTGATCCGAGGCAGGGGGAAGCTCCGGCAGGTATGCGCACAACGCCCCCTGACACTCCACCCCCTGAATCCACACTGACTGGCATCTGCAGATGGCAATCGACTGCGTCAACGCGCGCCTCGGCAACCCCGACCCGACGCGCCGCGACCTGCTCGCCAAGCTGATCGAAGAATACCAGCGCGGCGTCAAGAGCGGCGGCAGCGAGGACGGCGTGCTCGACATTGCCGATGTGCAGACTGAGGCCTTTGGCTTCATCATCGCCGGCTCCCACACTACCGCCACGACGATTACGTTCCTGTTCTGGCATCTGCTGCACAATCCCGCCGTTTTTGAGAAGCTCGAGCAAGAGGTTCTGTCCCAGGTGCCCGCGTCGCCGGCCGAGGCCACGCTTCCTGACGACCAGGGTGCCGATGCTGCTGCGGCGGCGTGCGCGCCGTACAGCGCAACGACGCACCTTCGGTACCTATCCGCCACGGTGACGGAAACGCACCGCATCTCGCCCGTCTTCACGATGCCTTTGATGCGCGTCGTGCCGGCAGGGGGCGCTCGCATCGGGCCCTCCCACTTCCCCAGCGGTGTCGACGTGTCCATCTGCAACTTCGCGCTCCATCACGACCCGCACGTTTTTGGCGACGACCTTGAATCCTTTGTCCCTGAACGCTGGATGGGTGATGATGCGGGCGCGAAGCAGAAGCTGCTCATGCCGTTTGGGGCCGGCCATCGCGCGTGCATTGGACGCAATTTGGCAACCATGGAGATCCACAAGGTCGTTGTGAGCTTGGTGAGGAGGTATAGGATGGAGCTTGTGGCGGAGGAGGGAGGGGTGAGCGAGGGGGGAATGCCGCAGACGCACAGTTTTGCCATTGCGGATTTGGTGGGGCCGTTGAGGGTCAGGTTGACGAGGAGGTAAGAATGGGGCAATGTTGGAAATATGGCTGGAAGGTCTTCTTGGGGGTGGAAGGCGCATGACGAGTAGGAGGCTGGATGCGTGGCCTGGCGATGACTGTTCTACTCACCCGGGTTTGTGGTAAAGATGTGAGCTATCTCCACCTGCGGAATCGCATCTCTCCAGCTGATAGGAAGCTGATGACGCCTCTTCCAGCCGTAATTCAGCAATCCTGAGTCAACACTATCGACGATCTAGTTGCAACTTGGCGGTTAGACAAGTCGAAGAAGACAGCTGGGAGAGAAAGATTTTTGGATTGATGCTGCCTCCTCTGATGCTGACATGGCAGCAGTAGCATTGGCCTACGTCTATTAGGATTTGTATCTCTATCACATCTCTTCGCGCTCAACAACGCCGCCAGCAATTGGGAGACAAGATACGTCGAGTCTGAGCTATGCGTCCCTTTGACCCCGCCTTTGGGTGCGGCTCACCAGAGCTTGTTCGAATCGTACTAGATGCGTTCGCCAATCGACTCCAGTCGAGGTGCATGTTCTGTTGAGCAAGTTTGCGTTAGTTTTCCGGTGCCGTACGCTACTTGCCAGATCCGGAATTTCCCCCTTTGGCGTCCCCGTGCCGCCCATCAAAACCATCACCACCACCCACCACTGGCAGCCACGCGTTGGATTGAGAGAGTTTTCGACCATGGAAAATTTCACTATTTGGTCCCTCTTTCCCACACATGAGCGGATCATGTTCCGTTTGCGCTGACATGGACGGCTTCTGCTGGCATGACCAGGTATGCAGGCCCCAGGGACCGACTACATATACGGGGCGAGCATTTCCTCTGGATCTAAGCATTCAGATTGTGCCAACGCTTGCGTCCCGAACACCTTCGACTCAAGATGTATGATGGCGAGCCCTGCGACCCCGCCGTGGTGGGTCTCCCTCTTAGCGACGTTCGCTGCATCAAGGCAATGGACTGCTGCACAGCCTTTGCAGCAGCAGGAAATGCCTCTCAAGCAGAAACACCCTGGGCAGGTCAATTCGAATACGGTCACTGGACCCTGTGGTACTGGATTGCATCCATCGGGGTGCTGACGGTATGGCACGTTTTCAACACCATCATGGACAAGCGCGCCTCCTCTCGCCGCCAGTCCTCTTCTCTCCAGTCTCGAGTCGGAGCTGTCAAAAGAATCCAGGCCCTTGGAAGGTTCGTCTTCTACAGGTCAAGGGGGGAGAAGTATTCGTGCATCGCCCTGCCACGGACGGGTCTCTTGGTCTTCCTCGTCGCCACCATGGTTTTCCTGGCAGGAATCGTCTTTGCCGAGCGGCCGTACTACCGCCCGCATTTTGGCTACGGGTCGCCGCCGATTGCCATTCGCTGCGGTCTCATCGCCTTTGCCTGCACGCCCATTCTGATTGCGCTTGCCGGAAAGGCGAACATCGTTACTTTCCTGACCGGAATCAGCCACGAGAGGCTCAACGTGGTCCACCAGTGGCTCGGATGGATTGTCTTTGTTATTAGCTTGATACACACGATCCCATTCTTCCTTGCAAGCGTCCGTGATCGTGGAGATGGCGGTTTCCAGCGTGTGAAGAGCGAGTTTTACTACAATTCTCCAGGGGTGTCCGAGGTGAGTGAAGTTGAGAAATTTGTTGCATCTCCGGACTAGTCATTGATGTCAGTATAGTACTCTGGAACGCCACCGCTGGCCATGCTCTTTGGCCTCTGCGTCTTCTCGATCCGGCAGGTTCGCCAGCGCTTCTACGAGTCGTTCTACGTCGGCCACATTCTTCTCTCCATCACCTACCTTGGCCTGCTTTTTTGGCATTCGGGCAACGAACGCGACTCTTGGGCCTATCTCTGGGCGACGCTGGCCGTATGGCTGGCATCCTGGCTGGTACGGCTCTTTTGGTGCATGCGATCCACCAACGTGCGCTCCCCCTGGTTCGTCGGCGCTCAAGCTACAGTCAAACTGCTTCCAGCAAACTTGGTGCGCATCGAGGTCGAGCGGCCCCTTTACTTTGACCTTACCCCTGCACAGCACTGCTTTTTGCGCTTCAGCCATATCGCCGTGTACGACAATCATCCGTTCACCATTGCGTCGGCTCCCACGCACGGCACGGCAGAAAAGACCACCGAAAAACCGCTTGTCTTCCTCATCAAGGTCCGTGACGGCTTCACCCGCCGCCTGGCCGCCGAGTGCGAAATGTCTGAAGAGCATGCTCTGCAAACCTCCGTCTCCCTGGACGGACCCTATGGCGGCTTCCCGTATCCCCGGCTGGAAAACAGGTACGATGCGCTCCTGCTCGTCGCCGGCGGCAGCGGCATCTCGGCGTGCCTGCCGTGGCTCTCACACATGGCGGCCATGACGCGCCAGGTGCGCCTGGAGCGCGTCACGCTTGTGTGGGTGTTCCGCGAACCGCAGAGCTTCGACTGGGTAGCCCAGGAGCTTCAGCAAGCCGTGCAGTGCGCCGGCTCCGTCCAAGTCCACGTCCGCCTCCACGTCACCGGCGCCTGCGACTTCTTCTGCAGCAACGCCGCGCACGCCGAGAAGAGCGTCCATATCGACGCCATCCGCGACCCGCGGTATGAGCGCATGAAGGCCGTCGGCGAGGTGCTCGCGGGTCGTCCTGATCCGAGGGACGACGTCAAGATGGCCGCCGCTGCAAATGATGCTGCTGGCGAGGCCCCAGGCAAGCGCCTCTTTGTGCTGACGTGCGGGCCGAGGGGCTTGAACGACGCGGTAGCGAATGCCTGCGCTGACGAGCAAAAGTCGGTCTGGCGGGGCCAGGTGGGCGAGGTCAAGCTGCATGTCGAGACGTTTAGTTGGTAGGAGGTGGTGGTGATGGTGGTGGGGAAGTGACTTTCAGAACACGGGGAACATGGCTTTGATCGGGAGAACGATGCCACGATTTTCTGCCTTTTTTTTTTTTTTTTTTTCCAAAGCATCGGGAGGGAATAGCGGCGCGGCGCATGTTTATTGTGTATAGTCCCAAAGCCAGGGCTCTACGCTTCTTGACAAATCCCGCAACTGAGACGAAATAACGTAGTGCATTTTGGGCAACAACGCCGCCCCTGAATCTTATCGTGTCATACATACACGTATACCATGACCCATTGTCCGCGTCTCACTACATAACCACATGCAACCGCTACCCTACTATACGGCAATCCCGTGCGTACAAAGGGTTGGTGGTGTAGTGGTAACATGTGCCGCGGCTACAGTCTTTCCCGCGGGCACGTCCCAGGTTCGGGTTCGAGTTCGAGTCCTGGCCGACCTGAAAGCCGTCAAACTGTTTGAATGCGCCCTTTTTCTTTTGCTCTGGTGGCCTTGTGAAGCGTGGTGGCGAAGTACCAGAGTTGAATGGAGACTTGGGTGACCGTGCGCGGTGGTTGGGGGTTTGGGCGAGGGGGTGGATGGTAGATGGGGTGGGTTGGGTTGATGAAGATGATAAGGGGCAGAGGAAAGAGATTGGAGCAAGAAAAGCAGCTCGACATGCAGTTTGAAGGCAAAGGGGGCACGAAAAGGGCTGGCGAAATTCAGGGTATCAATTTTCTCTCTTGCGCAGGAGCCGGCTAAGAAAGATCCGCCACAACTCTTCGATCCCGGTCCGCAAACTCCACTTTGCCCTAACACTTTGTCCACCGCGTAGAAGTTCAAGTTGTCCATCAGACAGGCTGCCGAGGCAACGGCAGCATCTACCACACGCGGAAAGTCAGCACAACAAGCTCTTGGCCATAGATAGCATCACAGAAGAAAGCTGGCACTCACCTTGTCAAAATTGCTGTTCAACGCAATCTCAGCAGCCCTGGCGACCAGCGGCCCTGAAGACGTCGATACACTCGGCACCAGTGTAAGGGTTGTCGGCCTGGCCGTCGGGGCAGGAGCAGACGGAGCTGAGGCTGGAGCCGTCGGCGGAGCAGATGACGGCGCAGCGGCCCTTGGGGTACTCGCACGAGATGGCGCCGCCGATGCAGCCGCGCAGCCCGTTCTGGCGCGTGCGGAGGAAGCCCTTGTTCTCAGAGGGCGCGGCGAGGCCCGTCGAGGCGAGGCCGAGGAAGACGGCGACCGTCGCGAAGAGCTGGATGAAGTGCATGGTGATAGTGGAGGTGGATGGAAGTGGGAGGTCGGTTGGTTGGTTGGTGGATTGAGTTCTGAGAGCTGGATGGATGGTGATGATGAGGAGTGGAGTAGGTTGTGTTGGTCCGCCCTGGTGTATTTATATTAGTCTATGAAAGATGCTCCTCATGCTTGTAGCCGGTGGTCTGGAGATTGATCAAGTCATGAAGGCCTAGTGTGGTCATTCGAACATGTTTGACTCGACCGACACAAGACCTCGACGCCTCTCGATCTCTGAGTACGGGGGCGGAGTATTCCTTCCTCGCCTGAAGGATCTTCCCAAACAACAAGTCAGTCATCAGGTGCCTTGATATTGTCGTGGGTATTCCCGGGCTGCGTCTCACAGCGTGATGTTGCTCGTCGACGCTGCACCTCCGAGCGTTAACGCCGAGTCTGCCTGACCAGGTTTACTACTTTCCTATAACGGTAGACAGCTAGGCAGTGTTAGATGTGTAATACGAGTGCCGTTGACTCGAAGCTGGCGAGTGGATGGAGCACTGGTAAACGCCTTGCGCCAAGTTACGGCTAATTTTTGACCCCTTCAGTGGATCATTGCCCCCTTACACATGTTGTCGGGCAAAATTACCACAACTTCGCCCAGATCATGGAATTGGCGGGTATAGCCGCGCTATGCCAGTAATATGCGCAGATTCCCTGCGCCTCGCCACCCTCAAAGTGCTTGTCACTGCAAGAAATGGAAGTCAGGGGTAAATGGTCCGTGCTGAAGTGAGTAGGTCCGAGGCCCCTTAGGCGCCTTCTGCTGTATTCGTTTTGGTCTTACTTTGCACTTCTGCTTTATTATTTCTCTCACTACCTCTTGCTCAGCCTAACTGTCTGCGGAAAGAGATAGAAAGAGATCAAAGAGGCGTGGGTACGTAGTTGTGGGGAAAGAGGGCCTGAGGAGCTGAGCCCTTTGATGCCAAGGCGCGGAGAGTCGGTCGGCTGTGTAGAGTCGATCTCGGGTAGGAGTCGGGCTCTTGGACAGTCGGCATGACTTCATGTCTTCCCTATGTGAAAGTGGGATGGAGGCCCCCAGACACCAAGTGAGAGGCCGAGTCTGGACCATTGCAAGACTGACAGTACCTCTTGGAATCACTGACTCCGCCTTCTCTTTTGGCTTGGCTGGTCGCTTGTTAACGGTCACGGCCACACAGCCCAACGTTTGAAGTTCTAGTCGGGCGCTGTTATCGGCCCGCTCTTCAACGTCGGGCGTCTGTCGTCGAGACGGCGTTCGAGTTGTCGAATTACCGGATTCGGCAGGTCGTGAACACGGCGCCCTGTCGGCCTTCGTTTCGGCCATGGCGGCCGCCACCGCGCCTTGTACCGGCCACCGACGACAGGAACCAATCTTTACGACTCGTACAAGGCTGTCCAGCACGTGGTGAGAAACTGAATCAAGGGGTTTGCCTTTCGATTCTGTTTCAAGCTTATCCTGACCTCAGGTTTACGGCTCAGGTGTGCTCTCAGATGTGCTTGCAGCCAGGTCGAAAATACACCGAAAGAGATTTAGAGCCGACGAGGAGTAGCAAAAGTAGATTACTGATCTTTCTGCTTGTTGGTTAGACCGCTGTAGCAATTTCACAGGGGCACCCACTTAGCAATAATTCGTCCGACTAGTTGATCTCGTTAAGCTTAACCCCAGAGATCTGGCAAAGCCAATCTTGTTTGCTAAGCGAGCGTCTCCAGCCAATCCGTGAGGGCAGATCTGCAGTCATCAAACGTATAACTTGCTCGCTCGGACAACTCCACACGATTCGAGCAAGGCTGACACGCACCCATTGACAAACGCCTTTGAGGATAGCGCGCCGAAATACTGCCTATTCACTCCGTTTGCTCATTCGACTTGGCAACTCCAGTGACTCGAGGCGTCGTACTGTATACGATGGTCATGTACCCCATTTCCACCGCCTCGACGGCCTGTGCTTGAGAAGAGAGACAAATCAGTATCCATCTTCAAGACAATGATGGTGTATAAGAAGTACACTCCAGACCGCACAAGTTGAGTCGACAGTACCATCATCTGCCACCTTCTACCGCGCAAACAATCAACTCAACCAATCTCCACGACACCTCTTTACCTCACCAACTCACCTTCAAAATGCTCACCCAAAAGATCGTCTCCATCGTCGCCATGGCCGTCGGCCTGCTCATCGCCCCCGTCCTGGCCCAGAACGGCGAGCGCACCTGCATCGGCGGTGCCATCTCCTGCGAGTACCCCAAGGGTATGCAACTGACCTCTTTGGCATTCGCCACGTCTCCCACCGCTAGGATAAAGTATACTGACCGCCTGATCCAGGACGCTGCGCGAAGCTCTGCCAGGGTGTCATTGGCCCCTACGGAACTGCCTGCGACTGCCCGGATGGCCAGGAGGACAACCCCTACACCGGTGCCAGCTGCATCACCATCACCCAGGCTCTTGGTCGCCAATCTTGCTCGTCCTAGGGAGGGATCGGATGTCTATCGGGCGCGGAGAGTGTTGGATTGGAATTTTTTCGTATCTGTCATGTCGTTTTCAGCAGCGTTCGGAAGGGTATCTGGGTAGCTCGGGTTTCAGTACGAGCAACAACAAGAATAATATTCAGATTCTTACGAGCAAGCAACACCGAGCATGCTTTCTGTGACACCCGTCCCTTGTGGTTGTGTGGTCATTAGTCCAGTAGCGGTGTGGCAGCCTGCAGGTAGATGGACTGATGTGTCGTCGCCTTCGGGTCGCTGCAGGCTGCGTGTCTGAAGAAACGGGCCCGATAAAGGGTGAATTGACCAGGCTCTTCCTCGTTCCTCTCCATTGACTTCCTCCTTGTCTCGTCTCTCGTTTCTTCGTTGATCTTTGCCAACCAATTGGTGGTGATGAAGCCCCCTGCTGGTGAGTGTCGACGTTCCTGGTTCTTTTCCGTCTCTCCATTGCCGCATGATGGTCGAATTCCCAAATTTGAAACGAGCCGCTAGTCCAGCCGGTGGCGAAGACGAAACTTAATATCTTTCTGAGAGCTGACGATATACCTTCTTCGTTGTCACTGTGGTGACGAATTTTTTGCTGGTGAGTTCTTCCTTGCACCTTCCTTTAATCAGCCTCACCGCCCTATGATGAGAGAGATTGTACATCGATGGTAGCGATTTGAGTAGCCAATCGCTGGTGGTACCCATGAAATCACATTCCAATTCTGAGAAGTGGGATGGCAAGCCTGTACAAAAGCTGTGGCGTTTTTCGCGGCAATGCTGACATTTCCAAGATGTTTGACAGGGCGATGGATGCTTCGGTGCCTCATTTGCGCTGGGAGATGTCCCTTTTCGAAATTTGACTGCAGGCCAGTGAGTGACTCTGCCCCTGTGGTTGCAGTTTCTCCTCATGATGAAAAGATATTCGCTTTGAGCAGTCAGCCTCGATGTTGACTGCTGTGATAGATTTTGACTGACCACAAAAATTCTTTGCCTCCCAAATTTTGTTACCTCTGGCTTCGGCGGGTTGCTGACCTTTCCATGTCTTAGGCTTCTGACAGGGTAATGAGAGCCTTTGTGCCTGGGCAGTGCCTTTTTGGTACGGAAGCCTGCTCAAAACAAGGTTCCAGACTGGTGAGTTTTGACTCTGTACTTGAATTTTCAGCTTCTCCTTATGATGACCAAATCCACGTGAAAGCTATTTCCTTGAGAGCCGACCTCGAAGGTTGCTCCATTGAAGAGATTTCCCGTCCAACTGACCACGAGAGCTCCTCTGCTTTTCAAGATTGTCGTTGCTCCCTTCGTAGATGGCATGCTGACTTCCCGATGTTTGCAGACTTTGGACAGTGGGGTGGGGCGAGTACCCCTTGGCTTGGAGTTCGATGGCTACAGCAGCTGCTGGGTTTTCCAGTGGGCAGTCGGTGGTGCGTGGGCGCTGGATGATGAGGTATGATACTCCAGTGTCGTCACTGCAACGAGCGTCTAGGCTGAGAGGCTGGGCTTCGTCGTCGTCGAGCCAGACGTCTTAGTCTTGGTTCGGAGTGCCTGCGCCTGCGCCTGCGACGACCGACCCGTCCGGGTGGGTGTCCTGGGCTCCTTCCTCCCCGGCAGCCGCGCTGGGCGGTCCCCACATCTATTTAAACCCTCCCACCTCGCGCCCACTCCGTTCCTTTTCCTCTTCTTTTTTCTTTAGCCCTCTTTGCCATTTGGCTTAGATGTACGTCC